TGAACCAATCTGCATTGCCAGGTACTGAAGACAAATTGTTGCTGGGTTAGGTACAACAGGTGCTCGAGCAAATACAGCTTCAATTACAGCATGCAAATCATGAACAGGTCGCCAAGTTTCACCATCAGCCTTTTTTTTACTGGGAAAAGTGGAGACGTTGGCGCTGGAACAATTATTCCGTCTTTCAGGAGTTGCTCAATAATGGGAGCCATGCCTTCCTCTGCATCGGGTCTCAGAGGGTACTGCCGTTTATTAGGTCGGTAATCAGATTTAGGAACCACAACCATTGGTGTTGCATCCTTAATTAGACCCACATCATACTTATGAGTAGACCATAACTGTTCTGGGACCCCGTTCAACGCCGGGTGGTTTTTAAATAGACTCAGGAGTGCTTGGGGAGTGGCATGCCATAAGATCAACAACCTTAGATTTCCTCAACTTTAAACCATTGTCATTGCATACAATAGTCAGGCCTAGCGCACACAGCAGATGTCTTCCTGCCAGATGTACTGGACAATCTGGCACAATCACAAATTGGTGACGTATATTTGAAACATCAAAGTCTTTGCATTCAACTGGACATAGCTTAGTCACTCCACATTTTATAGGTGTGCCTGTAACTCCATGTCCTTAGTCATCTCAAAATCCTCTGTCATTGATCTCAATGAATATTTGGTTGCTCCTGTATGTGCCAACATCTCGTAGGTTTTGCCGTGAATTGTTAATTTGAACATTGGAAGTTCTTCAGATTTGTAATGAAGAGAAAGGTAGAACTGATTAGTTATTTCAGAAACATTTGTTTGGGGACTTTTACTATCTTCCTGTAGAATGGCAGTAGAATCTGAGGCTTGCTCGGGAAGTCATGATCTTTGAAATGGGCGGTTCTTGTTGGCAAATTTGGTCTATTTACTGACACATCCCCATTTGGTGGGTATGATTTTCCTTGATCATTATCCCATTCCCGTGGTAGTATTTCAGTTTGATGGCACCTGTGACAGGTATCTTTGTATTTAAAGAAAGGTTTATGTTCTGGTCCCCTCCCTTTGTATTCACCTCTTCCTCTGCCTTCACCTCTTCGTCTTCCTCTGTTTGCTGCTGTTGAATAATAAGCAAGCTGAACCATCTGAAGTTTCTCAATGTTGACTTTGGTCTTCTTTGCATTGTGATTATTATCATCCTGAACAATAGTTTCAGCATGTGAGCAGTATTTCTTTACATCAGTCAACCTGGCACTATGCAACGCAATGCCTGACAAAAAGAGCTCTTATATCTGGTAACAATCCATCCACCAAAGTCTGGACCAATTGTCTTTCCCATACTGAATCATCAACAGTAGTGGATGGTTGTTCATTTCCACTGTGTGCATTGAACACTTTAATCTTTCTTGAGAAATAATCATCAAACATTTCCCCTGATTTTTGGGTACATGTGTTCACAGTTGTCATATTTATCATTGGCTTGTATTTAATCTCTAGTGACTGGTGTAAAGCTGCAAGCTGAGTCTGATATGTGGAAGTATTGTCAGTACTCCATGCAGTAGTTGCATCCCAATTAGCAGGTCGGACTTCGACCCAACCAAGACCCATTTTAGTTGAGCAGACATAGTCCATTTCAGCTGAAGTAGGTCTGTACTGTATCACAATTTTTTCCAGAGTGTTGGCAAATACTTTCCCATTATTCTTTGGTTCTGGAAGTTTTTCAATAATAGCTTGTAATTCTGCAACTTTCCATGGTCTGTAAACATGCTGTACGCCTCCCGTACCGTTTGGACATTCTATCATTGGTCCAAGCATCAAGTTGTTTACTTCAGATTGTTCTTCAGGTACAGATAAGAAATGTGGCTGTGGTGGGGCACCTGACTGATAAATAGTTCCTGATCTTGTCTTTCCATTGTCTGGCCCAGAAAGGGAAAGGGGATTTTACTGTGCTTGTAGAAGCAGGCTGCTTCATAGCTTGTTCTAGCAGCCCCCTGTATGGTGGGGGTGACAAAGCCCCAAGGTTATTTGCAGCAGTCTCAGCTTTGTTTACATTATCATCTCCTTCAGCTCCCCCTTCATATCTTATGTCTATCAGCAGATGAGGTTGCTGTGCAGCAGGCTGAGCTCTGCTAATTTGTTGTGGAGACTGTATTGGACAGTCCAGATCAAAGTCAACTTTGTGAACACTGATCGTTGTTTTTGGCCGGCTATGAATTATCTGATTCGTGTGGCTGACCCTTCGACCCATGGCGCTCCAGACCCCAAGGCACTCTGTCATATACTCAAAATCCCAATCAGGGGGGGCAACCGGGCGAAGCTGATCAATGAGGTCTTTCAACATTGCTATGTCAGACTTTTCAAAAGAGCCATCTTGAGACCATTTTGGCTCAAAATCTGCAACAACCCTACACAATAGCGTTGTGTAATACGTTGAGCCTGTCACCTCTTCAATCAGGCCTCGAGGAGTCATTGTTATCATATTGTCACTTGCATCATCAGTACTCAATGAGACAAACATTCTAACGCTCTTACAAACTTGCTCAACCCTCTTCCTATTTTCAGCTTCCTTTTCCCAAAGTTTCAAACTCTCAAGCTGTTTAGACCATTTCTTGTTAACTTTTTTGCAGGCCCTTACTTTTACTTTTTTAATATTTTCTTCAAATCTTTTCGACATTCTTTTTCGCAGTGATATCAAGGAGGCATGGTGAAAACTCCCACTTTCAGGAAATCCCAAATGCCATGCCATTTTGGCAAAAATGTTATGGCTGATTTACCATATATGCATTTGGCTGGACCTGGGAAGTCCTTCTGACGGGTGCTATTAGTACCCATAGCGACCCCCTAATGATTTGTAACCCTTTTGATTTAGTTATTCTTATTTTTACTTATATCATATATATATATATATATATAAAACAAAAATGTGTTCTTCTTTCTATATCTATTCTAGGTGAAAATAAAAACTAAATATTTTTATTTCAATATAGCTACTTTATATACTCAGCACATCTCGTTTTACTTTCCCTTAATGTTACTGTATGTAATATAACTTTTTTCTTTGAAATATTATTATGGACAATTCTTAGTTAAATGACAAATACCATGAAATTCACAATGCAATGCAATGGTAACAATCAGTTCTCAAAGACTATGTTTAAATAGCAACAAATCATTGTCTAATATTTATTTCAATATTTCTACTACTTCAAATCACACATTAATCTATTAATTTCAATGTATTCACTCCAACTTCAGATCACTCATTGATCTTTTACTCCTTATTTTTAAACAGGCATCAGAGAAAAGAGCAAACAGACACACTGCTGCTCTCCCGGCTGATAAAACAAACGGTCTCCTCTTTTAAAGAATCGGAAAAAGGGGGGGGAAATACTTTCACAGACAAATACAGACACACCCCGGCTGGAGCACTCAGCCTTTTCAGGAGAAGGGGGGCTTCTTTGACCAATTAACAACAAACTATGGTATACCAAAACATTTAGCGCTTTATACTGAGTATCTAACTCATTACGGCCTGACAAAACATGGTTTCCTCCACTTTTGTATAGTGAATTCACAGAGTCACGAGCAGAGCTTTTTATATTTTTAACTCCCTCGACTCAGATCGGACTTATTAATCTCTTAATTACCGAACGGACCGGAACAGAATGTGCACTTAGCTCGCAAAGCAAATATGTATTCCTCAGCCAATAAATCTTTGAACCCTAAGACAAATCATTAGGATCTTCTCAGGCAGAATTCAAGACTACGAGCAAATACAGTGATTCCTCCAGCATAACATGTCATTACGGCTAGCAAAGGTCATATTCCCTCAGTGAACCTTAAGCTTCTCAGGCAGACTACGAGCAGAATACAGTGATCTCTTCAGATGAACATTTATCAACATAAAACAAGACCTTTACGAATCAACTGACAACCAACAGACAGCACAAACAACCATCAAATGACAATCAACAAACAGATTTTCAACCATACTGTAGCTGTTCCCCAAATCCACTCCTCTGCTTTTTTCTTACATTTTGAAAAATAACCAATACAACTTCAAAAATCTATTTCATTCCAAATACGTTTTGCTTACTGTGAGTCGGTATTTCTTCTGTGGAAGTCTCAAGTCTGGTTTCTCAATTCCTTGAGATTTACCACAGCCGTCTCAGGGCTGCCTGGCCAAGGGAGTTGAGACCTCCAGGGAGTAACACAGCAACTCGCAGCATCGGCATCTCGGTAGGACCTCCAAAATGTTGTGGCAATTCAGCACTCACAACAGGAAAGAATAAAACGAAGAGGAATCAATAAAACACAGATATAGTTGATTAATTATTATTTCGTTGTACAGCAATCAATAATAATAATAATAATGAGGAAACATTACCTTGCACACAAGCAGTCAATAGTGGTAATGCTCCAACGAGTACAAGTCTTTCACATCATATATAGCAGCATTAATGAACGCACACACCATTTTCCTTACATTAGCCAACACACTCAAATATGTTCCAGATGTCGTAAGGTCATTATCTCATGACCTCTTTAGGTGTAATTCATACCCTGTCAGGATATGAACCACCTAACTAACAAGACTTAACTGTATTATCCTGAGTAGGGCCTCTTTGCACTTCCGCTTACCCCTAATAATTGCGGAAGAGACGATGGGCCTCTCTTCTCTGGAAACTGTAATTCAATAACATACCTAATTATATTGACTAGGTCCAAGACTGATATAACAGTGTGTTTCCTGTTTCCTGCAGACGTCCAGCAGCTGGTGGTGGTTAAAGAAGAGCTTCTCCCTGACCATCAGGAGTGGAGCACCAGTCTGGACCAGGAGGACCCAGATCCCCCCCCACACATTAAGCAGGAACAGGAGGAACTCAGGATCAGTCAGGAGGGAGAGCAGCTTCAGGAGCTGGAGGAGGCTGATATCACCAAGTCCACTTTCACTCCTGACCCTGTGAAGAGTGAAGATGATAAAGCGACACCTCAGTCCTCACAGCCTCATCAAAGAGAAACTGAACACATGGAAACAGAAGCTGATGGAGATGACTGTCGAGGACCAGAACCAGCCAGGAACTCAGATCCAGAGAGCAGTTTACAACCAAAGACTGAGGACAACACTGGAGACTCTTCTGAACCTGACACTGGAGACTCTTCTGAACCTGACGCTGGAGACTCTTCTGAACCTGACACTGAAGACAGTGCTGATTGGAAGGAGACCAGAGAACCTGCGTCAGGCTCAAACTCACTGAAAAATGAAAAAGAATCTGTAAGTGATTCAGGCCCTAGTGCTGTAAAGAAACAATTTGGCTGCTCTGTGTGTAAGAAATATTTTACAAGTGCAAGAAATGTAAAGGAACACATGAGAATCCACACAGGAGAGAAACTACACCGCTGCTCAGTCTGTAAGAAAGCTTTTGCAGAGAATAGAGATTTAAATCGACACATGAGAATCCACACAGGAGAGAAACCATTCAGCTGCTCAGTTTGTACCAAATATTTTGCAGTGAGTGGAAATTTAAGGACACACATGAGAATACACACAGGAGAGAAACCACACAGTTGCTCAGTTTGTGAGAAAGCTTTTTCACGAAGTGGACATTTAAAGGCACACATGAGAATCCACACAGGAGAGAAACCACACAGCTGCTCAGTTTGTGAGAAAGCTTTTTCACGGAGTGAACATTTAAAGGAACACATGAAAATCCACACAGGAGAGAAACCACACAGCTGCTCAGTCTGTAAAAAAGCTTTTTCAGAGAATAGAGATGTAAATCGACACATGAGAATCCACACAGGAGAGAAACCATTCGGCTGCTCAGTTTGTGAGAAAGCTTTTTCACGGAGTGGACATTTAAAGCGACACATGAAAATCCACACTGGAGATAAACCACACAGCTGCTCAGTCTGTAAGAAAGGTTTTTCACGGAGTGAACATTTAAAGGCACACATGAGAGTCCACACAGGAGAGGAAATATACAGCTGTAATGTTTGTGACAAAAGATTTAAATGGTGTATTGATTTCAAAAGACACAAGTGTGTTGGTCGTCAGTCCTCACAGCTTAATGAAATTCAAACTGAGGATAACAGAGAGGCAGAGCCTCCAATCAGCAGCTCAGCTGAACACATAGAAACAGAAGCTGATGGAGAGGACAATGAATAAGTCTTATGACAGTTCACCCATGAGAAAATCTGTCTGACTGGATTAACATTGTTGCACAACATTCATATAAGACTTAAATGAACTAAGTGGACAATATGTTTAATGTTTTTGTCATACTGATTTTCTGATGTATACTTTAACCTCTTAAGCCCCAAGCCTGTTTTTTAGGTTTCAGGCTCGAAAATGACATGCCCAAAACAAAGGACTATAACTTAACTTCTAAAAGGGTTATATGAATAATTTATTTTATCAAAGCAAGGTCACATCTGTGAGTTGGATGTAGAAGTGTCAGAATCAATAAAGATGTTTCAGTGTCAGAGTAAATCCAGATGGAACATAGTCAAAAAGTGTAAATTCTTGTCTCTGCCCAAATAAAACCCATTACTTATAGTGAAAACCACCCTTGAATGATGGGTTAGTAGCCTAAAAGCTTTAGGAATCCAAAGTATAACATATAATAAGTACCCTGTATCAAGATTGAGGCAAAACAAGTGAGAATTGACCTTTTTAGAGAGATTTAGCAAAGAAAAGTCCAAGCGGACTAAGCTTTGGGCACATTTGGTTCCATCAGTGCCATTTAACCTTTTTCAGGTACCAGACTGTAAAAATCATTGTATAACATTTAATTATCACTATAGGTATTCATTCCATAAAAAAATTGTAAAAATAAATAAATAATTAAGTGTGTCTGTGTGGTGTGTGTGTGTGGAGTGTGTGGGAAGTTCCCTCTTTGCATGAGATGCATGTTACTTGCACAATAAAAATTAAGAAACTTAGGAAACATTTGACTCCAACTGGAGCATATTTATTAAAAAAAAATTAGCAACACACTATACAAGAAGCATTTTTTGGGTAAAAAATATCCTCATCGTCTTCCTCACTGTGACAACAAATGTGGAAAAAACAAATAGATTAATTCTCTGGCTTGTACTTTCAAAAATGTAACTCAAATCAGAAATAATTTCTCTACAACAACAGCAGAACATCAATTTTGAGTGTGTGAAATAACATATCACTCAAATTGTATACCATGTAAATTATGTGAGACGGGGTTCATATAATCTTTTCAATATTTAATAATATTCCGTCTGTCATATATTTATATATGTATATTGTGTATATATGTATATACATATTATGTATGCATGTGTGTATATATATATATAATACGTAATAATTGTAAGTCGCTTTGGATAAAAGCGTCAGCTAAATGAAATGTAATGTAATACCGTGTTAAATTCAACATGTATATGTATATATATTTCAACAACAAGAACAAGACACGGCATCCATCTTCTTTGTTTGTTGTTGAGTGTGTGAAAGAACATTATATCACAAGATGGATGCCGTCGTGTTATTGTCACGTGTGTGAAATTACTATAGATGAATACACTCTTACACCAAATAAATAACAAAAAGATAAAAACAGATGAATACTCTTGCACCAAATAAATAAGTAATAGATACAAACAGAGAGAATACATACCTTTCCGGTGACGGAGGTTCATAATCAGAGTCATTACTGTCCCCTTTATGCGTGACGAGATCACTATCTTCCGACGGAGAGTCCTGAAATACGATGTCCAATGCCTCCTCGACGGACAAAAAAGTCTTCTTTCTGGCTGCCATTGCTACAATGAAGACAAAGAAAACAAATCCTGCTGTTTCGCTGATCGATCTGCCGTTCTCTGCTCTCCTGTCGCTGCGGGACATGCTATGCTATGCTATGCTATACTATGCTGCGTAAAAAGAGTTGGGTGTGCGTAAACAGCTATACTGCCTTTGTTTATACTTACGCAAGATCCTATCTCTGGAACCCATTGGTTGATTTGGGTGATTGACACCTTTTTTGAATCGTTAGAGCCAATCAAATCGGGTGGCAGTTTCAAAATACGTAAATATGTTACGCCTGCGGAGGGGGAGCTATGCGTAAACTGCATCTCCCGCAGCTGAAGCCCCGGACTGTTAATCGTTGGACCTACTCTTCTGCCGTGAATGAAAGGATTGATTATCAGTAATCATTTTAAAGTGACAAGAGACATTGGATTAACCTTGAGCAGCGTTTTTATTCCTTTGAACACAACTTTTGATCACAAAACAGCCAAGGTAAGACCTAATTATTGTCATGGATTTGAAAACTGATATTGTTTACTTGCTATGTTCTGGCTGCTAGCTCGGTTAATGTTGTGCCTGTAGTGATGGGGTGTATACCCATGGAATCTGTGGAATCTCAGTTTTCAGAAAATGTGTTGTTTGTGCAGAAAGTATGAATTATAAATGATCGTTTTTGTGAGTTATGATCAGAAATAGCAATTGCCCGTTTTGCCATGGGCTCGTTTAGAGGCTTCTTGTGAGACTTATTTTTCGTATCGTCAGTTAGCCAAGTTTCCTCCGGTCAGATGGGTATGGAATATTAATAGTTTCATGAATGACACTTCATATAGCACTGTTGCTACATATATAGCATTTTCGGACCCGAGCTCCGGTCCGTGGTGCTTAAGAGGTTAACCACTGACTGTTGATGAACCATTTTATTGTGGATTGAGGGCTTCAAGTTTCCATATAGAGATAGGATGATTTGATGTATTGTTCCTTATTTCTAAATGTTTTGTATCATTGCTATCCTCTTAATGAGCCCCGTTTTACATAAATGTACCTGTTATCTGATTGTTTTTGCTTCTGTAACTGTAAGGGAATACATTTGTCTATTTTGTAACCTGATGACCTAATGTCGTTACTCCCTAAGGGTAAAAGGGAAGCAACATGAAACTGGATGTTCTTGGTAAGAGGTTAATTTTAATAAACTAAAATATCGGTTATTTAAACAAGGAGCTGTCTAGGTATAATATAAGTAAACAAAAGGAGGCCACAGATTATCACAATCACAGAACAACATGGGCACTTAAGGCGAAAATAGTGAGGCGTTTTAGAGAGCACACCATACCTTTATCTATTTAATATAGATAAAGGAAGAAATCATTCCAATGTGTATAGGACCGTCCACCCCCAAATAAAGCAGGTTATAATAATTACATTGTAACATGTTCTTTTAGTAAACACTGAAAACGGGTCCCACAGACCCAAACAGCACACAAAGGTTAAAGGTAAGCATATACTAATGTTAAAATGTGCTAAATATATACACTGCAAAAAACAAAAAAAAGAGGATTAAAAGTAGCCCCAGACTTGTTTTATTTTTTCACCCTAATAAAGGATACAAGCGGCCGAGATGGGTTTTCTCCGCAGGGTGGCTGGTGTCTCCCTTAGGGATAAGGTGAGAAGTTCGGTCATCAGGGAGGGACTCGGAGTTGAGCCGCTCCTCCTTCGCGTCGAAAGGAGCCAGTTGAGGTGGTTCGGGCACCTAGTTAGGATGCCACCTGGGCGCCTCCCTAGGGAGGTGTTCCAGGCACGTCCAGCTGGGAAGAGACCAAGGGGTAGACCTAGGACCAGGTGGAGGGATTATATATCTTCGCTGGCCTGGGAGTGCCTTGGGATCCCCCAGTCAGAGCTGGTTGATGTCGCCAGGGAAAATAAAGTTTGGGGCTCTCTGCTGGAACTGCTACCCCCGCGACCCGACCACGGATAAGCGGAAGAAGATGGATGGATGGACCCTAATAAAGGTTGGTGACCTAGACTATGACTAGACTATGAGGAAGTAAAAAGAGCTATTCTTAGAAAATATGACATAAATCCAGAAACCTACAGACAAAGGTTTCGCAGTAATGAGGTTGAACCACAGGAGAGCCCAAAATAACTTTATGTCCGTTTAAAATAACTTTATGGGAAGTGGGTTCAGCCAAAAGGGAAAACTGTTCAGGAAATTGGAGAAATTATTGTCCTTGAACAGTATCTGAGAATCAGTGGTGAGTTTAGGATTTTCGGATTTTCGGGGCTTAGCCCAGGAGTTGTTGGGGGGGGGGGAGGTTGCAGGGGTAAAGTGCAATTGTTTACAAGTGGGGGGTGGACCGAACATCCTTTAGGGGGGTCGTCGCCTCCTCTAGGGGGGTCCGGGGGCATGCTCCCCCGGGAAGATTTTATTTTTAAAATATTGAAGTTAATAGCATCAATCTGGTACACTTTGAGAGCAACATTAACCCTACCTTAATAATACCTCAAAGCGGACAAAAGGCACTGGAGAACACTTATTCATTAACACCCTTTAATGAAGCAAACTAATGCCTTAACTCACTCAAATACAGTCGTTTACTTATTTCGGTGAAACTAATGTGCGTAGAGTTTTAAAGGATGTGGATAGTCTCACCTTGATCCTGGCGCATTGCTTATCGTTTTATAGATCTATTCTCATCCACCATCTTTGTTAGTGACGTAAAGAGTGTAAGAGTCACTTTTCTGAATCGGACACTCTGAGTTGATGCAGTCACAGCCAATTGGAGTCTGATTCACAGGGTTGCCTGTCAGTTCCGTTGCTATGGTTCCGTTGTTATGTGTACTAAAACGAGAGCCGGTATAATTCCACACACAAAATAAAAATTGGAATACGTTATTTTAGTGTCTTAAAAGTAGACTGAGGTATGAAGGGTTATGTTCTGTATACGATTGAGGATAATACAAGCAACCATAAAACGCCCTTTATCTAGAGCCATTGAAGCCCATGAAGAATTGATCCTTCCTCAAATATTTTTCATCTACTGTATTAATAAAGTTGCCACGTGTTTTCAAATTCAAGTTATTCTATCTGTGCAGAACATTACAAATATTCTTAATTTGCAGTATTTTATTTTAAAAGTGTTCAGAAAGACTGCATCAATGATATGCTATATACAGTGGGGCAAAAAAGTATTTAGTCAGCCACCAATTGTGCAAGGTACACTTCAACTATGAGAGACAGAATGGGCGGAAAGAATCCAGGAAATCACATTGTAGGATTTTTAATGAATGAATTGGTAAATTCCTCGGTAAAATAATTATTTGGTCACCTACAAACAAACAAGATTTATGGCTCTCACAGACCTGTAACTTCTTCTTTAAGAGCCTCCTCTGTCCTCCACTCGTTAACTGTATTAATTGCACCTGTTTGAACTCGTTATCAATATAAAAGACACCTGTCCACAACCTCAAACAGTCACATTCCAAACTCCACTATGGCCAAGACCAAAGAGCTGTCAAAGGACACCAGAAACAACATTGTAGACCTGCACCAGGCTGGGAAGACTGAATCTGCAATAAGTAAGTAGCTTGGTGTGAAGAAATAAACTGTGGGAGCAATTATTAGAAAATGGAAGACATACAAGACCACTGATAATCTCCCTCGATCTGGGGTCAAAATTATCACAGGAACGGTGAGCAAAGATCCCAGAACCAC